AGAAATCATTTTCAATTATATTCTATAAGGACGAGTCTCTACGAATCATTCTATATGTTATTTACATCTTTCGTTACTTCTATGTGTACAAACATATATCTTCTCTACAAAGGTTTTGGGAAGTAGAAAACAGTAGGCACCTGTTAGTTTTGTCCCAACATGACCAAGCTCGTGAAGGATATTTCTACGTTGTTGATTTTCTGAAAGTTAACAAGCCGATTTTCTGGAACTCCACCGTTTTTACAACCCAATCTTCTTTATTTATTTTTTTTTCGCTTGTTTATATTCGCTACTTATTCGTTATTCTTATGCTTATCTTCGTTTTGTATGCTAAAAAATCGTTTCAAGAAACTCCCGAATTTCAAAGAGACATATCTTGCATTCATGGAAGATTTTGTTACGTTTCAACATATGATGCCGGTTCCTGAATCCGATTTTAAATCGACTATTTCTTATAACTCTCGCACAGTTTTCAAAAAACAAATTTTTATTTCGCTTCTTTTATTAAAAATTCGTAATAGCTTTGACGACAATTTATATGACGTTCAAGGTGTGTTGTTGATCGACACTTATGATACGGATCCTAAAAGGGCATCTCGTTCTTTACTTAATTTTTGATAGTTTGTTTGTTGTTTTATTTACGATATAAAGCAAACGTATCGACAAATTAAAGTAAATTAGGAATTTTGGAACTATAAAAAGGGGTTCTCTGGAGATCTGACTTTTTACACCTCTCAAAGAGTTTTTACTACGTATCGTTACTTACGGTACTTCTTCGTTTTATTTAGATTAAAAACTCTACAAGAGTAACGCTTAGTTTTTAATGCTCGATGGTTCTCCTCGAGACAATGGGCCAGCAGCCATCTCGACGGACCTACGTCAGAATCACCCTTCGAGTGATTCTCTTTGATCTACTTACCTTCTGCAGTGAGAACTTGCATAGCTTTTAAAGCACGATAAGGTGGTTTCCCGCTAGGCAGTGGGCCAGCAGCCATCTCGACGGACCTACGTCAGAATCACCCCTCGAGTGATTCTCTTTGATCTACTCGCCTTCTGGATTGAGAACTTGCTTAGCTTTTAAAGCACGATACGATAGTTTTCTGCTAGGTAGTGGGACAGCAGCCATCTCGATGGACCTACGTCAGAATCACCCTTCGAGTGATTCTCTTTGATAGTACTCACCTTCTGCAGTGAGCACTCGCTTAGCTTTTAAATCTTAATGTTTTTTCGCTAGACAAAGCAACATCGTCAGCAACCATCTTTATTTATTTTCAGGCTTTGGTAGCATTTGACATGTGTGAACACAGAGGAACTTTTCATTTTTATGGTACTAGGCCTAAAATGGAATCCTACGACTGACTTCTTTTCTCATTCTTCTCGTCCCTTTGACACACCCTGTACAAAGCGAGCTATTTTTTTGTACATCAGTCGTATTTTTGTTTCTATCCTCTTGTTTTTATTTCTGTTCAAATAATAAAACATCTGAACAGATACATCTGGCCTCTGTATTTGTATGTGTTATATTTCTGGTGTTATTTCTATACACCAACATCTATCGCAGGATCGGAGCTCTTGGCAGCTATACTGCTGACTGATTTAGCCACATTTGCCAACGAGTCTAGTCCAATTTTCATGCTCGCTCTGTCTCGACAAGATTGGAACTCTTGGCAGCCATATTGCTGGCTAGTCTAGTCACCTATGCCATAGGGTTCTCCTTCCGATCTTCCGATATTTGATCTGATTCTACGATTGCGCTCCCTTGAGCTAATTTTTCTACCCATAAATTGTCAATCGTATTAAACACATACAAGAACTGATACCACACTCTACTCGGCATTATATGCCTTCTAATCAACACCTCTCTGATTGTGTTAGTCGTGTTTTATCACCGGCACAATTATTACAATCTTCACCAAACTGGCATTTTCCTACCGTGGATCTCGTCGAAATATCATTACTTTCCGGCTGTCACTGCAGACTTGAAATGGGACACCACGCCGAGATTTTGACGCTGTTCTTCTTCTTGTTTTTTGCGCACTCCACGGAATTCTTAGAGAAAAAGGGGCCAACGGTATTGTGTTTGACACAGTCTTTCTAGTTTAGCCGATCGAAAAATTCTACTGATTCGACGATATTCTTTTCTAATTGATGACATTGTACGCGTTGTAAATCTGAGCTAAGTTTCAGATGGCATTTAACAATGTTCTGTAGTCAAAATATAACCGCCCTTATTTGTCAATTCATATTTTATTCTTACTTAGTTCTTAATTATTATATCGATCTTTTTATGTCTATTCTTTATACTTATACTTTTAGCTGTTCTTAAAAACATTCTCTTTTGGAGCAGGAGAATGTTGGGAAAGCGTGTATTAATTTGGTTCATATTTTTACATTTAAGATTTTTCTCTTACTGTACCGTAATGTGATCTAATTTAATGCTATATTCTTACGACCTTACTGATTTTGTATATGCTTTTCGAAGAGTGATTACTTGACAATTTTCACACATTGGCGGCACAGTTCGCGTAAAGAGGTGTTTATGTGTTAAATTACTGTGTCCTAGTCGCAAACGTGTTATTCTCACTTGGTCGTGTCTATTCGCTGTGGTTGGAGCCACGGTTTCACTAATTGTTTGATTTCCTTGAGTTTATTTTGTGATGCACTCCACTTATTTTGCCACGCACTTAACACTTTATATTTTATTTCTGACTTGAAGTCATCAGAAGAAACCTCATTAATAAGAATGGAGTCCTGGCTGAAGGATGCTAAGCGGGCTAGTTCATCTGCTTCTTCATTTCCTTGTATACCTGAATGTGATGGAACAAACATGAAGTCAACAGTGATCTTATTATTCTTTAGAGGAATTATTTACCGATGAGTCGGAATCTTCTTCCGACAATGAAGTTTTCACTGCAGAGAGTAAACCTATGTGTTTGCCAAGTTTTCGTATTAATTTGGTGCTTTTGGTTTTCATTCTTTTGTCGATGTAGTATGGATGTAATTCCGTTAGAAACTTTATAAGTGCATGAGAGTCTTCTGAGTACAATTTTGTTACGCTGATTATGTCTTTTGATCCTTGTATATTTTCGAATAGATCCACTACTTGATCGAAGCTTAACAATTGCTTTTCCCTTCTACATATTCTCTAACTGGTTCTAGTAATGTTTGGAGATTTGGTATCTCATCTCTTAAGTTTTTGTCATCAGTTTTGGTTTTTTTCTTTAATTGAAGCTTAGGTTTTTCAAAGTTTTCTTCGGCGGGTGGCGTGATTGCATCTTCTAGGGTTCTTTTTCGGTTGCTTTGTTCGAAGTTATCTGGGGTTCGTGAGAATTCATATGTGTATTTTTATTTGGAGGTAAGTGTTGACTTGTTTCGGTGAGTTGATTTATTTTTGGATAGATTCAGACGATGTAGGTGTTGCGATTGTAGTGTTAACTGAAGAAGTGGTCAAATGTATAGATGTATTTTGTAGTGAACATTGTTGGGTTTGGTTTATTGATAAATTTGGGATTGCTACTGTTTGTAATGTGGTTTGAAGAGATTTTTGTTTAGTAGATAGTTTAGTATCTTCATTCTCAGAATCTTTTTAACTATCAATGATCACTTTAGCCCTGGTGTCGCTAACGGTTCAACGTTATCCATCAGTTCCGAATCTTCACTTTCAGAAGGAATATGTCGTAACTTGTAGGGCTGGACAGTTTTTGCTTTATTGTGGTAAAAAGATGTTGGAATACTCTCAAATTCAACCATTTTTTGTTTCTAAAAACAAGTTTACTTCAGGTTTATTTAAATTGATTTATTTAAACAATAATGCAATAAAGAAGTCTACCAACTTGCAAAAAACTAACTATAAAATATTTTCTTTTTTCAGTGTTAAAATTTACTGTTATCGCACAATGTTCCTGTACGGGAACAGTAACAATTTGCGTCGAAAACTAATAACAACAAAGTACATTTATTATTCCAATATATCAGTAGATCCTTATAGCACTTATAAATGTATACATAAATTTTTATTTCTCAAACGTTTCTTATTTTTGGCTAATATTCGAAACAAAATACACGTGCTACATGAACAACCTACTCCAATGTCACTTCAAACAAAATTCTATTTATTCAAATAACCGATGGGTATATCAGCAACACACAATACACATCTAAGAACGAATGTTCCCAAGAGGGAATAAGATGTGTACGCCGTTAAAATTGTCTATAGCAAATATTCATGAAAATTTTATATTTTGAGTTCCCATTTGGGTCCTTTATGCAATAGAGTGTTAAGATAATAGTCCTCTTACGGTAAAACAGTATGTGTTGGGATGGTGGTGTCTGGTGAGTATTGGAAATAAAAGGATTTAGCTTATTTAGGGACTAATCCTCCCACCCCAAGGATGGATGTGCGCTGTAATTTACGGACATGAATGCCTGATCAAGCCGGAATTACTGCACGTGCATGCATTAAACCAAACTATTTGAAACTAAAGAAAAGTATTTCCTTCGTCATAAACATAAATAGTCATGTCCTGGTCTAAGTACATCCCTATGAAACTATCTTGAAATACGAGCACTGTGGCCTAATCATCATCATCATCATCAATTAGCCTATGTTTGTCCACTGCTGAACGTAGGCCTCCCGTAAAATTTTCCACCTATTTCTGTCTTGAGCTTCTTGCATCCAGTTTGTGGTGATGCGCTTGATATCATCCGTCCATCTAGTCGGTGGTCGTCCTCTGCTTCGATATGCATCTTGCCTTGGTCGCCATTCCAGAATCTTTTTGGTCCATCTGTCATCCGTTAATCTGGAAACATGTCCGGCCCAAGCCCATTTAGCCCTGGCTATTTTTCCATTTATTATTTATGCCCTGTGGCCTAATAGGTTCATATAAATATTCGTGTCACTTGTTTTACTGTTTATTAGAACAACATTAAATTAACAATTATTAATTTATTAAACTAGAATAAAGAATTTCCCGAAGATATCAAATATTACAAAATAATAATTACAAGAAGTTATTTTTGTACAAATGTCTCATTACTGCTAAGCTAGCTTTTTTAAAACCTGTAGAATCGGCCTTCTGCATTATTTGGCTGAAATTTTCTCCTTGGGATTCTGCGTCCATTAGTTCAGCGACATTTGGAGTCTAAAAATATTCTCATGATAAAATTAATTTTTAAACAATTAAAAATATACAAAAATATCATAAAGAAATATACAAAATTACAACGAATAAAATTATATATATATATATATATATATATATAATATATATATATATATATATATATATATATATATATATATATATATACAAAACAACAAAGTTTATTAGGGCTACAGTCAGAAGTTTGGCCGGGATGTTACAGAAACACTCTTTTGACTTTTGGTCTAGCTTTCGGAATTGTTTAATTCCTTTATCAAGACACTGTAATTAGAAAAATGTGTAAATATTTACAATATATCACAAAATGTCAGTGTACTTACTAGTCGTTGAGATTATTTGTAAGAAGCTATGACACTCAACATTAATAACAAACATATAAACTATAACTTATACAATAATGGATACAATACATTTTAAAATTTAGTTAAAAATAATAAAAGTTCTAAAAATTCGTTTTCTACATCTTCTTGGTGTGTTTTAACTTACCCATAGAGAATAAAAAAAAAACAAAAATAAAAATAGTATGATTAAAAATTCATTAGGAGTTCTTCATATGTTATTAATAGAAGGTAATGTATTAAACCTGTGTTGATGGTATGCAACCTGTTTAGCATGCAGGTGTATTATGGTGTGTATATGTACAAGTAAGTCTTTGTGTCATTTTTGATGTTTAGTCAGTAAATAACAATAAATGTTACTCAATTTGTCTATATCGGACTTCTTATTTATACAAGACGCACTGGACTTTATTAAACACATTTCCAAGAAAACACGTTTAGAATGATTATTTTCCCTTGCTAATACACAGCTAACACACAAAACTAAATACACAGAAAAAGCCTTCCAGATTGCCTGTGCTAAGAGACATTGGAAATGGAATGTCCAAGAAACTGGTCGCAATAAAATTTCCCCTGCAGATAAAAGAGAAGCCCTTCAATATAGACTGATATAAGTAACAATAAAAAAAATGACACTTAATCTAGAACAACTCAGCGTTAATTAAATCAACTCAGTTATAACAAAAGAACTATTGAATGCTAGCTCAGAAGTAGCAACCCGCCATAACAACAAAAAATCCAAAATAAGTGCAGAATCGAAGAATATGCTGAAACAACGAAAAGAGCTCCTGTCACTAAACAAAAGAAATACCACAGAATACAAAGAACTTAATCGAGCCATACGAAAACAGATAAAAGACGATATTAAAAAACATCAACAAGAACATGTAGAAAGAGTGATAGAGAAAAATCGAAGTCTGAAATATACCAAACCGAAATTAGGAAAGAAAAATATTATAACTATGAAAAATCAACAAGGCCAACTAGAAACAAGCAAAGCTCAGATATCAAACATAGTTGAAAACTTCTATACTGAGTTATACCGCTCAAGAAACGATCCCCCCGACTCTTCAAAGCAAAATCTGAAAAGACAAATAACAAACGTAAATTCTGAAGTAATGCCCGAAATAAGCGAAGTAGAAATAGAAAATGCAATTAAAGAAATGAAAAGAAATAAAGCACCGGGTAGTGATGGAATTCTGGCAGAAATGTTGAAAGAAGGCGGAGAAGAAGTCATCAGGTACCTAAAAATACTTTTTAATAAATGCCTATTTGAAGGAAACATACCAAAGGAATGGAATACTGCTAACACAATATTAATACACAAAAAAGGGGACAATACAGATCTGAAAAATTATCGTCCAATATCACTACTATCACAACTTTATAAAACATTCACAAAAATAATTACAAATAGATTGACAACAAAGTTCGATGTATATCAACCAGTAGAGCAAGCCGGATTTAGAAAAGGGTTCAGTACATGTGACCATCTTCACACACTAAAGGTCCTAATAGAAAAAGTTAACGAATACAATTTACCAATCTGTTTAGCATTTATAGACTACGAGAAAGCTTTTGACAGCATAGAATTATGGGCTATTGAGGAAGCACTGGTCAACAGCAGAATAGATTCTAGATATAGGATATTAATACATAATATATATCAACACGCTGAAATGGTAGTCACGATGGATAACGGAATGAAAACGAGGCCAATAAAAATCAACCGAGGAGTAAGACAGGGAGACACCATATCTCCAAAACTATTTACTGCCGCACTTGAAGACATCTTTAAATCACTAAATTGGGAAACGAAGGGACTATCGATAAACGGAAAGTATTTAAACCATCTAAGATATGCAGATGACGTAGTACTAATAGCCGACAGCTGGAAAGAACTGAAGACGATGATCGATGAGCTTCATACGGAATCCATAAAAAAAGGACTGAAAATGAATCTGAGTAAAACTAAGCTAATGTCGAATAAAGATGATCAACCGACGATAACCATCCAAGGAACAAAAGTGGAACATGTAGAAGAATACATATATCTGGGTCAGAATATCAAGGTAAACAAAGAAAACCAAACTACCGAAATAAGCAGACGAGTAAGAATGGGATGGGCCGCATTTGGAAAACTCTCATACATACTGAAAGACAAAAAGATACCCCAAAACCTTCGAACCAAAGTGTTCGATTCTTGTATCCTTCCCGTTCTCACTTACGGAGCTCAAACCTGGACATTCACAAAAAAGAACATGGACAAGATTCGAAAAACTCAGCGAGCCATGGAACGACAGATGCTTGGTATCTCACTAATAGATCGGCAAACGAACGAAGCAATCCGGAACAAAACAAAAATAAAGGACGCCGCGAAACAAGCAGCTAAATTAAAATGGAAATGGGCTGGACACAACGAACGTCTCGAAGATGGTAGATGGAACAAAGAAGTCGGAAACTGGCGACCGTACGATGCGAAGAGACCAAGAGGAAGACCTCAAATGCGCTGGAGCGACGATATCAAAAGAGTCGCAGGACCAATGTGGAAACGCCTAGCACACAACAGGGATGAATGGCGAGAAATGGGAGAGGCCTTTATTCGACAATTCGGATAGAAAAAGGGCTATAAAAAAATATCACAGGCCTACAAAGTACCTAACAAAACACGAGAAAAATACAGAAGTGGATTACTGTATTGTGTATTATGTACTGTGGATATACTGATTACTGTGGAGTAAGATTTTATCCTCTCACTGTATTTGGTCCTTATTATTAAATACCTGGAGATTATATTTTATTTTGCTTTATTTCGTATATCTAAATTATCTAATTTTTATTTCCCTTGTTTCAATTTTATAGATACGACATTTTTCAAGTATAAATTATTTTTTTGCACCACGTTTGAATATATAAAATGTTCTTGTTTATTATATAAAGTACAGTCTATTTAAGAAGTACATAACATCAAAAGTGAATGTATAAATATCTAAACAAAACTTACTTCACTTGGGTCCAAATTTTTATTATTCCATATCAGTAACCCCAATATAACACCAAATGCGTTTTGTTCTTTCCATTCTTTTTTTAATTCTGTAAATGGTAGAACTTTCTCTGCACTACATCCATAATCCTTTAATGTCTCACTAAGGTTTTTGTAATAGATTTCAAGGAAATGATCCAAATTAGATATGCTTTCTTCGTCAGCTCCTGAGTAGAAACTGTATGTCAGATCCAAAATGGGTGAACCTACCCCAGCCATTTGGAAGTCGAACAATTTAATATCTTCTATATCTCCTGAGTTCTAAGAAAATAAATCTATATTAGTTTGTTTCAGATGATAAAAATGTAATTGTGTCTAAAAACCATTAAGTAGTTTGATAAAATATATACTGATCTAAATAAAAATTGATATAACGTTGAATGCTCGAATAAATGAACTTTGATAAAATGAAAGTCAGATATCGAGCACTGTTTTACTAATTAAATCTTGCCCAAGTACTTTCGCTTCCTAGAGCATCTTCAGAAGCATTTCGTCAAATTTTGGGAAATCCAACAATTGCAGAATGCCATAAACTTAGAATTAAAGATACAGTTGAACAAGGAACAAACAGTTTAAAATTATTTAAAAAGAAAAGTGTTCTACACCTAACTGTGGTTATAAAATCAAGGGATTGTTGGTGTTATTTAAAGTATCGTACCCTTCCGAGTAGTTAAAATAAATAAAATTGGATAAGTTAATGAGATTTCGTTTTTTTTTATTTATATTAATAAAAAGAGAATTTGACAACGTACAATTATGTACATGCCTCCGAAGATATAACAGCCCACACCACAACTGAACCTCCTTGAAAACTTAATCTAGGACTAAAAGTTCATTCATCATATCGTTTACCATCTAATTTCCAGACTCTTCCGAGACCATCCTTTGAACGTGGACAGAATATGAAATCATTGACAAACATCACATTTCTCCAGTCGTCTGCATATCAATCGTGATGCTCCCTACCAAAATGTAATCTGGTTACATGATGTTCCCTAAAAAGTTCTTCCTTAACCGTCTTTCTGAGATATTAAAGAGGGTTTCTAAGCTCTTTAGCTTGATTGATAATTTCTTAGTGCTGAAGAAACGGCTGTCCCCCGATAAGTAGTTCTTCTCTGGGGAAACTTTGGGTTTCTTCACTGAAAGTCCGTATCTGTAAGCTACATACACTTGACTTCTTTTATCCTGAATAGAAGGACAAAGTAATTAAAATTTAAATTGCCTGGAATTGTCACAATGCCAATAATAATAAACACTTTTGGAGAGAATGAACAAAACGATAATGGAGAACGCCTGATTGAATTATGCGAACTAAACAACCTAAAAATCACCAAAGTGATTCTTCAGACATAAAAATATTCATAAATGTAAATGAAAGCAAGAAACATGAAAGCTCAAATCGATAATAGACTATTTAATAGTCAAACAAGATAACAAAACAAAGATTAAAGATGTAAGAATCAAAAGAGGAGCAGAATGTGAAACTGACCATAAACTACTGACAGAAAAAATAATGATTAATTGGAAACATAAGCAAGACCTCCTCTACAGACGAACCGTTGAACACTAAAAGAAAAAAAACAATACAATATAGAACTACTGTAACAATCAATAAGAGAACTATACAAACAAGAATTAATCTAGAATCAAGAATTAGTCTAGATCAGAAATAAATAGAATTCAGATACGGCAACATTATAGAAATACACGATCATATAAAAGCGAGTATAAAACAAGCAGCATTCGAGGTCCTTGGAGAGAAAGAACCAACAAAAAGAATAATTAAAGTAAAAAATCAACTACACAGAAACTGGCTGACTACAAACAACGATGAAGTTTATAAAGAATATAGGGAAAAAGATAGAGAAGTGAAAAAAAATATATACATAGGAGGTACAAGAACATCGGAGTCATGGAAATTACTGAGAGGACTGAAACAAAACTCAAAAGAAAAAAATTTAATTGGGAAATATACACATAGACAAAGAATGGAACGAGTATTACAAGGAAATGTTAACAGAACAAAGACCACAATTAATTGGAAAAGAAAACAGACGAAGACGAAGCAGATCCCACAACAAGAAATAAAAATAACAGAGAGGGAAATGAGAACCAAATAAGAACAAAAGCAATCAAAAATGAGAAAGCACTGGGATCTGGAGGCATCTCACCTAAGCTTATAAAGTACGGCTCAAAAAATTGCCCCGAATAATAAAATGGATATTTCAAAAAGCCATAAATGGAGCTCCCAAAGAAATTTACTGAGGCATAATTATACGACATCTATATTTAAGGAATAGAAAACAGGAAAACAGAGAAAAAAAAACAAGCGATAAAAGGCAAAATCGAGGAGGATCAGGCAGGCTTCATGGCAGGAAGATCATGCATAGACCACTTATATACACTGGAACAACTGTTGGAAAAGAAAAAAGCAAACAATAGATATATACATTTGGCATTTGTGGACCTGAGAAATGCATATGACTCTGTACCAAGGTCAGAACTATGGGAGGCAATGTACAAATTAAAAATACAGACGGAACTCATAAAAGCTACAAAAGCTCTTTATAAAGAAAATAAAGTGTCCATTAAAATGGGAACAAGAATCATAGGAGACTTCACCACAACAAAAGAGCTCCTGCAGGATTGACCCCTATTCAAAATATACTTAGATAAAGCCTTGAATACATGGAAAATAAAATGCGAGGGCATAGGAGTACCGGTACGAAACAAAGACCTATATATCTTAAGCTTTGCAGACAATCAAGAAGTGATTGCATAAGACCAAGAAGACATCAGTTACATGATGAAGAAACTACAAGAAGAATATACCAAAGCTGGCCAAGATATTAACCTCGCAAAAACAGAGTACCTATCTACAAGTAAAGAAGACATAGAAGATCTACAGATTGACGACAACGTAACAATCAAAGGAAAGAATAAATTCAAACACTTGGGGTTTATAATCACGAAAAAGCAACAAAAGAAGAAAAAGTTAAGTAAAGATTAGGACAAAGAAGAACAGCAATCCGGCAACTTAACTGAGTATGATGGGATAGTTACCTAAATATGAAACACAGATTTATAAAACATTAGTGCGAAGTATTATGATATATGGGGCTGAAAATTGGATTATAAACAAGAAAAACAGCAGTAAGCTAGCAGCAACTGAGATATAATGCCTGCGAAGATGCTGTAGAGTAACAAGAATGTATAGGAGAAGTAATGACGAAATAAAGCAAAGAACATCAATAGAAACAGAAATATTATATATATATATATATATATATATATATATATATATATATATACAATATATATATATATATATATATATATAATATATATATATATAAATGTATATATATATATATATATATGTATATAATATATATAATATTATATAACAACAAAGACTAAAGTGGTATGAACATGTAAGAAGAACTAGCGACCTCAGATGGATAAAGAGATTAAGCGATTGGAGCCCCATAGGAAGGAGGAAAAGAGGACAACCCTGAATATCCTGGAGGAGGAACGTAGACGACGATATGAGTAAGAGAGGACTAAACGATGGAGAATGGGACAACAGAGAGATGGAAACGGTTGGGCGAGGGAAAGCAGTGAATACTAATAGGATGATAACTTCAATATTGTTGAGATATTCCAACAATATCTAGAAAATTTTAATTCAAACGATTTTTGCCGTTAAAAACATTTTTTATTGGTATATTCTAAAACATAGTTTGCCAAATTTGTAAAAAAAAAACGTATAAATGAAAAAAAAAGTATAATATGAAATGCATTATTATTTCATTTGACAAAAAATTACAATATTTTGTACGAGTACTTGTGTATTAAAATGTGTCGAAAATTTCTATATGAGACAGCCTTCCGTCTTTCACAGTATCATATCTATTAATTTACTTACGTTGTATTTGAACATCATATTATTACTCCAACAGTCACCGTGAATAAAAACTGAATATGGACTTTTGTATTCAAGTGCATCAAGAAACATTTGAGAACCGTTATCACAATATTTTTTAAAACTATCGATTATTTTTATTTCTTCTTCCTCTTCTAAAAATTCTTTTATCGTGTTACACAAACTGGCGATTGCTTGTTGCATTAGACCTACAAAGATAAAACACAATATGTAAAATATTTTTACTGAAAATAAACGTTAAAAATGACTTTTTATGACACATATTTTTTATCCATGTATCCCTTTAACACGATTTGTCTCTTATATCTACATGACACCATAGTCTTGCCATCCATCTTGTTGTCCATTGCCTATGTATATCATTGGTAATTCCTATGATATACATAGGCAATGGACAACAAGATGGATGCCAACAGTAGAATCGGACTATATTAAGATATCCACCCCAACTCAGGGTTTCATCGGATCAAATCTGCCCCGGTCCATTTGGGCAAGGCTTAATCGTATACGTACCGGACATGGTAAATGTGCTGATTCGCTGTTCAGGTGGGGTCGTGCAGAAAGTCCACAGTGCGATTGCGGAGAATCTAGACAGACCATAAGCCATTGTGTTTCAGACTGCTTGAATCGTGCCTACCGTGGAAACCTCCAGGACTTTGCGGAATGTTCCCCAGAAGCAATTGAATGGCTATGTAAATTGGACATTAATATTTAGTGTCATTCATTCTATTCATTCTATTTTTACTATTCTTAGTGTTTGAATAATATATTATATAATATATATGTGTGTATTATTGTAACTGTATTTGTATATTTATCGTACTGTGAAAGTCCATACGCTAAATAAATAAATAACCATAGTGTTGCCGAGAGGTGAGTTCAAGTAAATGTAATAACAATAAAATAGTAATAAAAGATGAAATATGACTCTTATAAGTGATTTATGACAGGAAGGATATCACTAGGGTCTAAGAAATGGATAGGAAACAAAAATATCGAATATTGTGTCCACCAATCGAAAAATAATATATATTTAAGTAGTATGCCTAATGTTTATTTCCTTGACTTACAGAAGAAACACAAGAGAAATGACAAATTATATAAACAAAGGCAATGATAAAATAGCACAATATAATATAATAAATGATATAAATTAAAGAATTGTCAACATATGGTTACGCAAGAATATATTCTTCGACAAAAAAATAATACAGAATTAAATGGCAATAAATGCCAGACGCTAAGCCTCGTAGAGGTTTCCGTAAGAAAACGTACAAAATACAAGAAAATATCAAACAATATCAATTAAAAAAAATGCATACTAATAAATCAATAAAAGAATAGCAGAAATAAAAGGCAGATTTTAGGTGAATATAGAACTCCGTACCTATACTAAATTCACAATCAAGATGCACTAGAAATAAACAAACCTAGACACTTAAATGGGGCGTGCATGATTTGGACGCTAAATTTAAAATTCGACACTGAAAAATAAAATTACCTGTTTCTGCATACATGATTTGGACGCTGAGTGTAATTGAAATGTAAATGGAAAGTCAGGTAATAAAATTCTAGAGATTAAGCTTGATAAGGTTTATTTTTCACTTTGAAATAAATACGACATACATTTTACGAAATGGAATCGATCGATACAGTTAGTTTGATACTCATGTATCCTATTTCTAACGAACATAATTTTTTTCTACTCTTTGGATCTTTAAGTTTATTACTTTCACTATTACAGACACTATTAATTTTAATGTAAGTTTCAGTTTGAAAATTTTTTAAAACATCAATAAAATGGAAAATATTTAGTTGAGCATGGTAAAAATTATCATTAAAACGCGAGTGAAACCATTCACAAGCATTAGTTGTTAATTGTAAACTCTCACTCATCGTAGCCCACATCTCCGATTGAAATGTTGCGTGCCTTTAATGTGTACGGTTGGAAATTCAAAACGCGCAGCATTGTGGATAGCAATTTCAAAATCGGAGAAAATGATTTTTGGATTCAATTTTAGACCAATTGCTTCACATTTGCGTTTCAAAACATTAAATAGTTTTATATAGGTTTGTTCCCATTTGTCGGGAAGTAAACAATAGCACAATGGTATATATGGTCAAAAATTGCTTGAAATATTGAGCACAGTAACTAAATGTACCGTCCATAATAAATCGTTTAACTGCCGCACAGAAAACACATGTTAGTGTTACATGAGAAGATGATAATGTTAGAACTTAGTTTCAACCGCAAATATAAAATTCTCGTCTTTAAGTGTTTTGATATTCATAATATTTACCGCAGCAATAGTTTCTTCTTTACTTTTGGGCAGTTTCGGTTGAGCCATTCGCCGTTCACTGTATATTTGATTTCGTATTAAATTAACGTCTTTAACAGACATGTGGCTCAAGCAATCTACATTTCACTAACTTTTCTGGCCCTTTCGTGAATATCTTCGCTTTACACGACCGTTTTAACGCACCTCCAATACGTTTCTCCCGATTTTAGTACTTTATCTTGAGAAAAAGTAAAACTGTTCACTTTGAGCAAAATTTTACCACGATTACTTACTAACGTTGAAATTTCCATGTTCACTTTTCACTATTCTCTGACAAACTAATAACTAGTAACTAAGTAAATTTCAATGACCATCATTAAACCCTAATTATATCTAATATCTGGTACCACTGCGATAATCCTTCCGGCAGCGTCCAAAACAAGGGTACTTTTAAGACCCTCAGGTACTTCAGCGTCGAAAACATGCCCGCCCCTTAAATGTTAGAGGAACACTCCCGAATCATGATTTACAATGTATAACCTTTGTAAATTATGATTTGGGAATTATACAATGTATATACATTGTAAATTATTATTTCAGAGTGCTCCTTGTAACATTTAACGTGTCTTGGTTTGTTTATTTCTAGTGCATCTTGATTGTGAATTGAGTATAGAGTCTTATATTATGACTGTAAGTTCGAACTGGCCGATTACAGAAAATCCTTTATTCCTATGGATTATGACGTAAAAAGTGGACTTCCTGTAGAATCGGCCAATGGCAAATTTTAAATTGCTCAAAAGTTGGAATAACCCTTATTCCAACCAATAAACAATTTTTCCCATGTTAGGGGATGTTTCCCGTGCGCTGATTGGTGCGTTAATGAATGCTCCCGAGAACAATAGTAATTGCGGACAAGTTAGAAGACCTACAAGTTCTTATTAACAAAATCACGTATTACAGTCAACAATATGGATTCAATATAAACGGTAAGAAGACAAAGCACATCATAAAAACCAAGAAAAGGATAACAGAAGGTCAACTCTACGTCTACTCTACGTCTAGGTCAACAACCAAGAGATTAGAGCCCGCATCGGAAAAGTAGATCCACCTTTAATCGGATGGAGGCCTTCTTAAAGAGAGAATATAGAAAGTTGTACGAGTACAACAACAACAACAAAATGAGAAAGTACGAGTTGTTAACCTGTTCTATACGTGTACGAAAGACGGTTTCCGAAATATTTATTTTTCCAAAATTCAAGCTTTCGTACAGCGTACTGTGACCAGGCAACTCGGAACAATTCTCTTTTCTTTTTCCTGTTTCCCTTTTGTCTTATATATTTACAGAACAAATGGAGTCACAGCGGATACTTAGATCGTCTGCCTTTTAGACAGAGCGACTGAAGGCGATCCACAACCTTCCGTGGATTCACCGCAGCGACATATGTGTTAATTGCCGTTAAATTTTGAAAAAAATGTTATTGTTTTTGTCTTCTAAAACACAACCGCTAGAACCACAACGTGGGGTGATCGAGTCGTTTCGTTTTTCTTAAATATCGCACCCGCAGCGCAAGACTGCACTAATTTCAAATTGTATGAAAATGAAGTAATCATGGAATTCGATTGTACACATGCCTATCTATCCCTGTAAAACTTTAGTAACTTTCAAATGCTTAACTGGCTAAATATTACAACAACAACAGTTTAACTATTTTACGTTTTTGTACATAAGTTCCGTGCAAAACTGTTGTAACTCTAATGTAACAGAGTTACAACAGTTTTGCACGGAACATTGCAATGGTTTCGATAACAAGCAATGAAAGGCACGAAAAAAGTAAGATATTTGTTATTTTAATACTTATATCTGTTATGGTGTTTAATTTTAATATACAGCGTGTCTATCTAATCCATTTGCAACCGAGACAATAAAGATTAGATTGCATTAAAAACACATAAATTAAGACTAATTATTTACAGCCAAAAAGTACTTTTTCTTATGAAAGGAAAAACAGTTATCTTAAAACTTGTGTATTAACAATACTGACAGGTTAAAAATAATATATTCTCAGAAAATTTGTTCTATAAAAACTAAATCCCAAATTGTATTAAATCTTCATGTAACCTTCCGGGGCGATTGTCTTATCATATTGTCCCCCCGTAACTTTTACTAAGGTAGTGAATTTCTATCCTTTTGTTAATCACTGTACTCAAGGTAGCCTGATTTGCATATTTTTATTAGTACTTTTGTTTTAAATTTAACAGGTTGACTGCCTATATATAAACGAAAAAAATTGGCCTAAACGCCAAGCATATATTAATTACAAACATGTCTTTCTAAAATAATTACTCTATATTTGAATAAAAAAAAATTCAAAATAGTGAAAATTTTTCAAAAAAACCACTAGCGGGCGTATGCGCCCGCCCGGGCACAGGCGACATATTTATGCCAGTGGTGCCAGCGGGCGTCATACTGGCGGTCGCTTTATTCGAGTCGGAACTTGTCAAGCAGACAAGTGCCAATCTATTTAGTCTAGCTTTGACTGTTGTTTGATGTGCGTGTTGTGTAACAATGAGTAAGCGAAGCAGAAAAATTGTCGAACTTGCTTTGAAAGATGCTGAAATGTCAGGTAATAACGATATTCATTTTTGAAGTAGATATAAATCTGTTCAAAAATACCGATTTTAATTTTTTTTATAGTTCACTATATTTCGTATTTTTTATTATTTCAGGTGACGAATCTGACCCCTTTAGTTCACTTGATTCCGATCTTGATCCCATGTTTTTGCCAACTAGTGATGAAGAAATATTATCCAGTTCCGATTTCTCAGATATAGAAGCATCTTCAGACATGTTTTCTCCGAAGATAGCATTGTCCAAACCCAAAGCAAATATCAAACGGAAATTGCAAACA